TAAATCAAATCGAATGAATAAATGAACGAATGATCCTACTCGCACTTAGCCGGTTTTTTCTTACACAGTTAATTTTCCTTATTTTGCTTGTCTGTTAATTTATTTTGAAAATGTGTTTTTATATATTACGAACAAAACGATTAAATTATTCACAATACATAATGAGTATTTATGTAACAAACTTGTATTATTGATTTATAAGAAGCATGTTTATTATACTATGTTGCATGCGTAAGTGGAGTTTATGTTATTCTGCGATTCACGTCATATTATTATATTTATCAATTTATTTGTTATTGAATCTACTTACAGTTTTACTAGAAAATTATTTAATAAAGATTAGTTTTATATAGAACTAGTATGGCCCCGTTGTAATCGCGTAGTTTTTTGGCCTATGGTGTCCATCGGGATTATTCGGGATAGTGTAGCTTCACAACAATGAAATAATTGTTCAATCCGGTCAAGTAGTCTCAGAGCTTATTCAATTCAAACAAACAATCAAGACTTTCCTCTTTTTTTTTATACGTAAGATTATACAACTTGACCATCGCCTAATGATAGCAATTATAGCTATTTGATATCATAAGTTTTCAAAGAAGGAGGTGGAGCGTGTGATAGAACTCTCCTCTTCACGCCTCAGCCGCCGCAGTAGGCGACATTTCGAGGGTCGGGATCCAGCGGCGATCTCCGGCCTCTGAAAGCGCGGGTCTTTGGTCGGCAAGCAAGCGTAGCTCGCCACCTGACCAGTACCAAAAACCAAAATTTTAATCAGTAACAGACTGAAACTCCCTCTCGCCTGGGCGAAAAAAGCCAGTTGATAATTTTCTCTCCTCGAAAAAAAGGTTATAATCTTTATACAAAATGTTTCAGAATTCTTTATCTAGCAACCAAGTCTCCAGACAAGTTGTTAAAAAAACCAGCAAACGAAAACGAAAACCCCAAATGTAATTATTGTCATACTTTCAAAACATAAATTTACATTTCAAAGAACAAAACGAACTTGATCTTACCAGTAATATTCCTTACGTATATTTTTTCAATTATAATGAAATTCGCGGTTTCTTAAGAGAAGCTTACTTATTCAATAGGTTTACTTGGGCTCTACTGACGTCAGAGAAGGTTCTGGAAAATTCGACCGAAAAAGTATTTTTTCTTAAGTGCCTTTATAAGTTGGCTTAACCTCAACAAAATCTCGGTTGAATTGTGTTAGTTAAATATGCCTAGTTAAGGTCTACATTACAATATCAAGCATAGATATGGTATACTAAGAATTTCCAAGGAAACTTTAGCACGTGCGTGTTATTTCTTGCAACCTCTTCTAATGATATATTTTGATTGATTACACTGCGTCGATTGGCATTTGCTCATGTTCTTAAGATGCGCCGAGCCTAATGATCTTGCTAAAGCTTTACTGTTTACTTTGTAGATTTTCCTACTATAGAATCTAGCTAAAATTAGTAAGTAGCTGTTTTTGGGAAAGTGTAGGAGAACCAAGCTTCGCCACGAATGGGTCGGCTCGACCGGAGTAACACGGCCTTATAATTAATAATCACAGCGTTGTGTGATTCGAGGTTACTAGAGTTCCAATCTCTATTCTTTTACCCTCTAATCCCAAAATCTTCGAAACCCTAATCTCCTAAAGGTCGGCAACGCACTCTTAACTTCTCTGCTGTTGCCATGAGCGGCGCCGATGGCTAACCACTAAGTAGCACGTCTGCTAGTTTTTCGACATAACACACAAAGAAATGCTTTTTCATATCTCTTTAATTAGTATCGATGATAAACGAAAACATTATTATAAATAAAATTTATTGTAATAATGTCCGTTAACCAATTTCGACGGAGTAAGCTTTGAAAATCTCTTTTTCAATTTCAATGCACCATTTTCGTTTAAGCATATAAATCGCCTTCGTACATCATCTTCCAAGGTTTGTGTCCAACAAATTGCCTCCACATAGCACCTGGTAGCTTGGCACGGGTCCGAACCATGCTATAAGAGCTTATGTACACCACTAAGGCACTTAGAGCTCGTGTTCTGAAGGCCATTATAACCTTTTGGGCTTTTTGCTTTCAGCCAAAAACTAGGTCATTTAATAGAGCTATTTTCTTTAAGCTCTCTGGTACATTAGCCTCTTGTTTTCTTATCTATACTAATATTAAAAGATAGGTAAAATTTGTAAGTTTGTATGTAGGGGGTAATATTTGGAACCGCTGGTCGGATTGCCAAAATTCTTTCACTGATAGATAGCTACAATGTTCCTGAGTGCTATAGGTTATAAAACATCACGCTACAATTAAATGAAGCTGAGCAGCGGGTGGAACCTTCACACGGCTGGCGAACTGGCTCCTGTGCAGTATGTCAGAGTTCGATTTAACAAGTCATCCACAAATTATTTTGCGAATTTGTATGTTCATAAATGCGTACGCGATAATGGAGAAAATCCTAGTATTAGCAGTTAGGCGTTAAAGAAAATGTGTGACAGTTAATTGTTAGTGTAGACTGCAAAAGTATTTTATGTTAGAAATGAGTCTGTGGGTTTTTTCGTCAGAGGAAAATCATCAATCCGAGTAAGTCGAAAGATAGTGTCAGACTCTTACTGACTAGAACCCCTCGTTTCTTTTCCTGCATTAGGCTGAGGCCGCGGTGCCACATTGCGCTTTCCCCGCAACCCTAGCTGGCGGGGGTAAGTGGTTCGTATAGATTGTTTTGTAAGTGTTAGAGAACTATGCTTCGGCACAAATGGGGTTGGCGATCTTAGTGGATATCATGGCCTCGTGGAATGCCAGCGTGGAACAACGACCATCTCTAATCCCCAACTCTCCTTGGTATTCGGGATGATCAGTTGTAGCCTTATTTGCCGCCTTATATCCCACTAAAAAACTAAAGGAGTCTTTTCAGTATGGACCCTCAATACCTTACTTGATGTTGTGAATGGCACAGCGTATTTTTGTTTGTTTATATTTCTTTACATTGCAATCACAGCAAAACGCTTTTTGATACGATTTTAATGTCTGAAGAATCATAAGTATAGTTAGTCTAGCAGTCTTCATGCAAAACCTGCTTGGTGTTTAAGAAGCAATTTGCTAGGCAGACAGATCATGACCTAGATATATTTTAATTAGAAACGTGGGCAAAGCTGGCGATTAGTTTAACATTTAAAATAGTTGCTGAATATAGTATGCATAATAAATACAAGATTTTAATTAGAACCAGCGCTGTAAGTGAGCTTGTATTAAGTTCAAGTTGGAAATACGACCTTAACACTATTGAATTTAGGCCGATATTGCAGGTCAAGTGCATTGATATAGCGGCACGGAGTAGGAGAAACTGGGTAGTTTATAGTCGGCAAGAGTTTGACGTTGACACTCCTTCTCGCCTTACCCAAGATGGGGGGAGATATTGGATGATTTACTTTTCTCAAAGAAAAGGCTATGGCATTTACGAGCTGCGAACTATCCCGTAATTAGATACTTACGTATTTGTCAGTTAAACAAGAAGTCTTCCAAGTGAGGTTTTAGTAGATTTTCAATTAATTAAATTCTAAGTAACGATGTTTGAGGAAAAGTATTCGCTCCTATCATATGGGATCCTTAAAAATCCATATAATATACATATATAAAAAAGTCGTGTTAGTTACACCATTTACTACAACTCGAAAACGGCTGAACCGAATTCGTTGAGAATTGGTGGGAGTGTAGTTTAGGACAAGAAGAAGAACAGGTAGTAGAAACAGGTTCTAGTAGGTAGAGTAGAATAGGAAATGTATGGTAGGTAGAGTAGGGTACGTGGTGTAAGGAGTCAAAGAACAGGTGCGAAGACGCGAGTAAGAGCTATTAGGTAGTAAATAAAAACATGTCTCCTTTAATTTTTTTACATCTTTTTTCCTTTTCAAAACAAAGGCTAGCAGATCATACATAAAACCAGTATAAATTGACTGTTAAACGTGCAGAAACATCATACGAGACGAGACCAAGATAAACTGGGTTTTCTAGCTTCATGCCTAGCCCTTGTATTTGCGTTAATAAACAAATAACAAAAGCAATTCCAAAACACACAAACAGGACTTAATGTTTTTTTTATATTAAGGTTTTATATTAAGGTTTCTGTACCTACATATAAAAAAAACATTAAGTCCTGTTTGTGTGTTTTGGAATTGCTTTTGTATATTAAAATTGTGATATCCCAAAAACAAATGTCTCAAAGGTTTTTTGACTCGTATCGTATGAGCAATCAAAATAAATAAGTCTGAAAAGACGTAGACAAATATTTATTTTGTTTAATATGAATATTGTATATTTACTCGTGGATTTATTATATAACAATATTCGTAAGTTTTAAGTGTGGGAGAGCCATGTTTCGGCACAAATGAGTCGACTCGACCGGAGTGATACTACGGCCTCACAGAATTACGGCGTGAAGCAACTTGTGGTTGTGTTTTCGCTTTGTGAGTGAGGTAACCGGAGGCGCAATCCTCCCTCCCTATCCCTCGCGCGGTTTCACTAGTGTGTTGCCGACAGTTAAGGATAAATTAATTTATATTTAACTAGCTACTCTCGCGCAGTTTCACCCGCTGCTCGGCTCCATTTAATCGAAGCGTGATCTTTTATAGCCTATAGCACTCAGGAACATTGTAGCTATCTATCAGTGAAAGAATTTTGGAAATCCGACCAGCGGTTCCAAAGATACAAACAAACTTACAAATTTTCAAATTTTACCTCTTTATAATATTAGTAGGTATAGATTTGCGTAAATATTCGTGTTACTTAATACTAGGTACACCAGCTGGATTCACCCGCTGTTTAGTTCTTATTAATCGAAAAATGGGCTATCCAACTTACATATTATAAAGAATTGTGTAATTCGACCCAGCAGTTTCGGAGATTAGCCAGAGGTTAACGTTCACAGACAAACAAACTTTACAGTTTTATTAATTAATTACGAGTATGATATCTAAATATAAGTGTAGATAGTTAATAAATTAACTTGCCTTTAATTCCAGGGAATTCTCCGTCCTGCCAGGCAAGTCGTGTGAAGGTTACGACATCATCTACCATCGCCTGCATGACACTGAACCCTCGAAGTACAACCTGGAGGCTGGCTGCAAACTGCTCTTCATGACTGTCGGTGAGTCATACAGCTATATGGTCTTTACTTGACCCAGTATAGATTTGAAGGTTGGCAACGAACCAATGAGCCAATCTGGTGTTCAACATTATCATCACATGCCCGCTACTGAGCAAAGGCCTCTTCTCACAAGGAGAAGGTTTGAACATAAATCACCACGTTTGCTTAAGGTTTTTTTTGTGAGGGGAAAATCATCAAATGACTTCTCCCGCCCAGGGCCGGTCGGGAGGGAGTGTCGGACTCTTACTGACTAAAACCCCCCTGTTCCTTCACCTGCTCTGGGCCGAGGTCGCGGTGCCTCATTGCGCTTACCCCGCAACCCCGGCTGAACGCTTGCTTAAGGTGGATTGACGATTTCAGACTTATCTCTAACTATCCACTCTCGCGCGGTTTCACCCGCTCTGCTCGACTCTTACAGATCACAGCGTGATGTTATATAGCCTAAAGCCTTCTTCTATAAATAATCTCTCTATTCAGCAAAAAAAGAATTTTTCTTTTCGAACCAGTAGTTCCTGAGAATAGCGCGTTCAAATGAACAAACTCTTTAATTTTATAATATTAGTATAGATAAGAAATTATAAGTCCAGGTTTCCTCACTATGTTTTCCTTTACCGTTTTTCAGTTTTGTCTAAATTGTCATAGAAAGTATATATAACTCGAAAAGTCATATTGGTACTTGATAGGTTTCGATCCCTCATGCATGAGAAGCGAATGCCTTAACCTCAGGGCCACCATTTCCTTTACAATCTGGTGTTACGTCACTTTATTTAGGGTATCATGACCTTGGACCTGATCGTCTGTTGTCATTAGTACTTGTCAGGTTTCCAATCCCCATTTTTATGCATGAGTCGGCCCGGACTGACAAGTATCAATGTAAATTGGTCCGGGATATATGTACTTTCGCCGATTATTTGGATACCACTGCCATACAGTGAAAGAAAGCATCGTTAAGAAACCTAATTCTGGCTGCACGGTTGGGGCAGTGGCTGAGCTGCCGTGCAACGTGTCGCGGGTTCAATTGTCGCACGGAACAACACTTTGTGTGATCCATAAATTGTTGTTTCGTGTCTGGGTGTCATGTGTATGTGAAATTGTATGTTTGTAAACGCACTAACGACATAGGAGAAAACCATAGAGTGAGGACTGTGAGGCAACCTTATACTAAAAACATCCATAATCGCCAAATCGCCGCTTTGAGCGAGTAAGCGTGGTATTTAATGCTCAAAACGTATCCGTGTGAGCAAAGGGAAGTGTATCCACCGGGATAGTTCGCAGATGGATGCTATAAAAGTGTTTATTCTGAAGTCAGCTTCATTTATGACTTGACTATTATTGTCATCATTGTGTTATTGCATTATTGTCTTAATAGGTATCAGCAAAGGCATGTCCTTCCAAATGGCTTTTGCTGAGCAATGGACTAAAATCTTATAAACTGATGATATTGAAGTTGCCAGTATGTGCATCACGATGACCTGTTTTGTTTTTAAAAAAATAATTTGATCATTATTGCGAATTAAAATTGGGTAAAGGTTGTAAATGAAATTGATTTTGTGGATTAAATTCGCACTATGTGCTATTTATGGTTTAAAGTTGACAAATATGACAATAGCATGGTACTTCTAAATTAAAATCATGACTGAATTACATAGGTACAACGTTAATTTCACCCATAAATTATCTACAAGAAGCCTCCGTGCTTACATACCTCACAATTGCTTTATTTTCTCTCTAAATGATATTCACAGTTCAGCGAAATTTTAGATGTGGTGAAATCCTACCGTTGCTGGAGCCTTATTAAATTAGTATGAAGAATCCATAGCAATTATCGTTCTTATAATGAAGTAGACGTAGAATGTTTAATTAGGTCCAAATTTGGTTTGCCCATCAGATGACCTTTACAAAAGATATGAGGTAGGTCTATAAAGGCCTTTGTAAAAAATCATCAGTATTTGAACCAGAGTTAACCAAGAGATTAAGTTTGGATGATCGATTTTCGGCATGAATGGGTTGGCCTCAGTGATACCAAGGCCTCAGAAGAAACTAGTGTAAAACAACGCTAATGTTGTGTTTCGCTACGCTAGTAACATGATAGCGATAGTGATATCGTAGACTTAATCCTTTTTCCCCAGTATCCAGTCCTCAAATCTGCCAATCAGCAAATCCCCCGATCCCTTAAACGCCAAAGGCCGGCAACAACGAAACAATGACACATTTAATTTATTTCTGCATAATTATGGACCATAAAACAGCACAACGCACTTCTAACTCCTCCTGCTAGTGTCCATGAACGTCGCTGATACTTAACAATCAGGTGGTCAGCTGTTCCTTTACCATCCTATCCCATAAAAAGATTATATAAAACACTAGCTACCCTCGCGCCATTTCGCCATTTGATCGTAGCGTGATGTTTTAGCCTATAGCACTCAGGAACATTGTAGCTATCTATCAGTGAAAGAATTTTGGAAATCCGACCAGCGGTTCCAAAGATTACCCCCTACATACAAACTTACAAATTTTACCTCTTTATAATATTAGTATAGACTAGTCACATATGAAAATGCATACCCAAGTTGATTCCATACATTGCATTTCCTAATCTCTTGGGCGATCAGCACTTAAATTTGATTTGGCTCATCGTGGCACTGAACCATAGAATAAATAGTACAAGCAACTAAACTGACAAAGGTATAGTGAAGGCATAAAATGCCTCGCGAGACCCATCTCTCTAACGCTTCAGGACCATCATAAAATATGTCGTATGGATGGCACACGATAGATTTAACAGGGATATCAATATTATGTGATGTGTTTATACTCAGAACTTGTGTCACAATTTCCTGATAGGAACTATGTACTAAATTAATTTGAATATAAAAACGTAATTTGCAATTGGTACTTATATATATGAAGGCTGTGAAATATGCCCTTAGTATTTAGCGCCCAATGACGATATAACCAGTGATTATATCCTCCTTGTTAGCACCCTAGTCCTTGTAGTCCTAGTATGGCGGTACGTAAGTCTCATTTAATGATTACTTAATTCTAAGCAATGTTTTGGAACAAAATCGTTGTTAAGGAATAATTTATCATTAAATTTCTCTGAGTACGGCACCCAGTCGGTAGATTATCTCATTCTTAAGTAGTATAGAGATTTTTTCTTCAAAATTTTGGACTAGTGGTGACGCACATAGAAAATTCGATGATAGCGACGTCTAAATTACGCATTTATAGTTTTCGTGCTGTTAAATATTGATTGAAAATCACAACGTATAAATGTAGAGCAGTGTCCATCAGAAATTATCACATCGCCTGGTCAAAAAAAAACTAGAATTCCCCCTTATCCAAGCTTAGGAAATCATCACATTCTGTTGTCTAAAGATATTTCAGTTGTGATAGATGAACGAATACTTAGTATATATTCTAGTTGTTTCGATAGTGTATTTATCAAATAATATATTACAAAGAAGGCGATTTGGATGAATTGGACATTGGCTCCATAAAATACAAGGACAAATTCCAAGACACGTATCTCAACCCTCCTTGTTATACAACTTAAAAACTTCTTTCTTACCTGACAGTATAAGTTGATCCAAATGAAAGGCCCATTCATGTGAATTTGGCTTTTGACCCAAATATAGTGCTCCCATTGTCATGACGTCGTCAATAATTTTGATACGTCGATATTAACATGTCATTAAGAAGTTTATTATATTAAGGTAGCATATTTTAGCCAAAATGAATGTCTGATTGACTTTTTGTTGCTACCGTGACTGCGAAAACCAAGATTCTTGACTTAACATGTATCGCTTTTCCGATACTGAAATTTTCTATAATAGTCCACGGTATTTGTTCTTGATAATCCCTTTTATGGCGATGTGGTATCCTTCGAATAGTTGCCTGGCTGCCTGGCTTTTAAGTAGAGAAACTAGCAAATATGGGATTGTTACCCTCACAAAACTCACCCTGATGACCACCAATAGCTGGTATAAGCGAAAACCGGTTCGTCTAAAAAGGCCATAACTTCACCTAAACTCCCAAACTTCTTCTAAATAGACCAGCTCGGTAAACCCCACTGAACGTGTTTTATTGCTGTCAATACGGCATATCCCTTTTTCTTGGGAGGCATCAAATGACTTCTCTGGCTCAGGATGGGGCGAGAAGGAGTGTCAGACTCTTATTGACTACAAACGCCCCCGTTCCTGCTTCTGCTCTAGAATGGCATATCGCTAAGTTGACATAGAGTCCTTGCAAATATGGTACACGTGGACGTTTATCATAGATACAGTAGAAGTCAAATGCTTTTTTTATGTTTCTCTGTATACACGCGTTACACTGTTCTCACATATTCAAACTAACTAAATAATGTATCAAAGAATGTTTATGTGACACTGATTTTAAAAGAGTAACCATGGAGTTTCTTGCTCGTTCTTCTCCATCGGAATCTACACTTTGGAACGAGCGAATTGCTTCACTAAGAGGACTGACCGACAGACTGACACTTTGTATCTTTAAAGTTGTGTTGACGTTCAAAAGTGCCTGTATGGGTCTAATTGAAATAAATAATTTTGACTTTGACTTTGACTTTTATAATTCTGAAAATTGTGCCATCTTTTCTGGATTGTAACCGTTAACAATAAGTTAGTGAAAATAATAAAATTGTTGTATAACCTTGTGTCACACTTACGACATGTAATTTTAGTCTCATTTCGCAATGTGTTGTCGCATATTTAATTATTTATTGGGCCATTAGCATTGATCTTCGAATGAGTCATTGACTGTTTGGGCAGGAGGTCGAGGTTGTTGTGAAGTACCTGTTGAGAAGGTGTCTTTAATCCAAAAAATAATCGTTTTAAACTGCTCATTTAATAATATATGTATAAGGTCCTCGTGCCTCAGGCATGAGATTGGAAACTTGGCAAGTACCAATGTGACTTTATCCAAGTTATACATATGTATTTTCTAAGATTAACCTTTTAATCATGGTAATTAGTGTCACAGTA